CATCACAGCCATGTGGGTACTGAACCAGTGACTGGAAATTCTCTCTCCTCTCTCTCTCCCACCCCTCCCTTTCTGTTTCCCCCTCTGTCTGTAACCCTGCCTTTTAAACAAATCAATAAATCTTTTAGAAAAAAAAACAAAAAAGTTCATTTGGGTGCAAAAAGTTTGAAATCCATGCATACTTTTCATAATTGCTTTTTCATGATCATTTTGGAAAACACATCTGCATGATTTCAAAAATTTTTGACACTAAAATAAATTTATCTTTTAATTCCATTTCCACAAGTTGCTTTTTTTTTTTTTTGAAATTTAACTTTTTTTTTCCATCTGCTTGAAAGAGACAGATCTTCATCTTCTAGTTCACTCCCCAAGTTCTCACAGCAGTTGGGGCTGGGCCAGGCCAAAGCCACGAGCCCAGAACTCAGGCCTGGCCTCTCACGTGGGCGGCAGAGACCCAAGCACTCGGGCCACCACCTGCTGCCTCCCAAGCGGGCAGTCGCAGGAAGCTGGGTCAGAAGTGGAGCCGGGACTTGAACCCAGCCCCTTGGACGTGGGCATCCCAGGTGGCCTCTCAACCGCTGCACCCCAGCCACACCCCCTTTTTCACACAAACTTTCTAAAGTCCTCTCGCATGTTCGCACGTTAGTTAATATTTTTCATGGAGGAAGAGTCTCATGAAGGCCAAAGTGCTGGGTGCCCGTGGAGGTCGTCAGGAGGCCGGGCGGCTCCCCCGACGAAGCCCCGGCTGCCCCCACGCAACACCGGCTCCTCCTGCACCCGTGCACACCTATGCATGCATGGATGTGCGTGTTGCCAGAGCTTTACACACTTACGTGGCCACACTGTTCCTGTGCCCTGTGCGTCTGGGGAACACAGGCGCTCGCCTCCCCCCCAGCTCCAGCTTCGGGGTGCCATCCTCTCGGGGTCTCCCCCACCCACCCGGGAGGTCCCCGCCCACCCAGGCTGTCGCTCTCCATCCCTGCCCTCCTGTCGCACAGGGGCCCTGCCTACCCCGCGTTTCCTGGAGATGCCGGAGCCCTGAGGGGCTGCGCCAGGCCCCTGGCTTGCCCAGGGCTTCTCCCCTTCCCCCGCACCCTCGGGACTCTCACAGGCACGTGGGCGGCGCAGGCTGTGAGCACGGGAAGTGGTCCAGGGTTCGCCGAGAGAGAAGCCATCTGGTCTCCCGAGGTAAACACGAGACAACCGGAGCCAGGCCACAGCTCTGGTTTTCCCTTCCATGGGGGGAGGGGTCGCTTCCTCTTCCTCCTGGTGGCTGTGCAGGCACCGGGCCGGCTCGAGGGCCTCCCTGGCGTGGGCGGTGTCCGCACAGATGCAGAAGAGTCCGGTTTCTCCATCTTTGCATCCACGCTTGGGACTGAGCAGCTTTCGGATGTGGATGAACCACCCAGCATAAGGCCCGTGTGTTCCTCCCTAAGGCACGGACTTAACCAAGTGCCTCGATTTTCAAGACTTCAACAGGGGCCGACGCTGTGGCGCAGTGGGTTAAAGCCCTGGCCTGCAGCACCAGCATCCCATATGGGCACCGGTTCAAGTCCCAGCTTCTTCACTTATGACCCAGCTCTCTGCTACGGACCCAGCTCTCTGCTACGGCCTGGGAAAGCAGCAGAGGATGGCCCAAGTCCTTGGGCCCCTGCACCCACGTAGGAGGCCCAGAAGAGGCTCCTGGCTTTGGATCTGTCCAGCCCTGGTCATAGCAGACATTTGGGGAGTGAACCAGCAGTTGGAAGACCTCTCTCTCCCTCTCTACCTCTCTCTGTAACTTTACCTTTCAAATAAATACCTCCAATCCATCTGTTGGAAGATGCCCCCTACTGGTCTCCCAGGTACTGCAGCCACTCCAAGCGCCCCACCCCCACCCCAGGGAGGGCCAGGCCGGGAGGCTGCTCACCGAGCGCAGGCTCTGGAGCACCCTCAGGCACGGGAGCCGCATGTGGCTTCGCAGGCTGAGACCCACAGCTTGCGCTGGCATGGTCATCCTGGAGTTTCCGAAACTGTTGCAAAACATTCTAGGCAGAGTCTGGAGTCTGTGTACTACAAGCTGTTTATCAATTAATCACTCCCTTGCCAAGCGTTCTTCCGTGGGTCTACTGGGAGCTGCTTGTGGTGGGAACACATCTCCGGTTTTGCAAGGAGGATCACCAGACTTGCTCCACAGACTTGGTACAGGAAATGTGGCTGCAGCAGGCAGCTCCCACAAGAACGGGGAAAGAACTAAATTCTGAGCATATATGGGTGATAGGCAGGGACTGAGGTTTGGGGAGTCTGCAGACAGTAACCTGTGAGATGCAGGCAGTCTTCGCAAACAGCAACTTGTGAGGTGCACACACGGGATCTCACGCAGGGTGAGTGTAGGCCCCGAGGTCAGAAGACCGCAGCTCAAGTCCAGGGTCGCCCCATCAGGCCACCTTTAACCTGGATGAGTGGCTCCTCCTCCCCCAGCCCCAGGTTCTCACTGCGGTCTCTGGCCTGGCAGCTCTGAGTCCTGCTCTTCTCTCCTCATTAAAAGGAAATACAATGTATCAGTTACAACTTCCCAGAGCAGCAGGTGAGCTGCAGAGGTTAAAGACCCGGCTAGGGGCGGGCTGTGGCACAGCAGGTTAAAGCCACGGCCTGCAGTGCCCCCATCCCACACGGGCTCCAGTTCAAGTCCTGGCTGCTCCATTTCTGACCCAGCTCCTGCTAATGTGCCCCGGAAAGCAGCAGAGGATGGCCCGAGTGCTTGGGCCCCTGCGCCCACATGGCAGACCCAGAAGCATCTCCTGGCTTCGGGTTGGCCCAGCCGTGGCCACTGATGCCACTGGAAGAGTGACCCAGCCGATGGAAGAGCCGTCTGTGCCTTTGCCTCTCCCTTTCTGTAGCGCTGCCTTCCGAATGAATAAAATCTTTATGTACAAACAAAGACCAGCGCTAGTGCGTGGGGGGTGGGGGTGGGGTTACCCCTCTGGAAATGCGGACTCACGGCTGCAGAGCTCAGGAGAGCAAAGCCAAGGTGTCACAGGGCCACGCCCCTCCTAGAGGCGCCGGAAAGAACCTGCTCACCTCTTCCAGCCAGGTTGTGGCCCTGGGCGCTCCAGCGCCTGCGGCTGGGAGCTGCAGGGCTCCGCCCTCTGCTCCTGTTGCCCCCCCCCCCCCAGCTCTCCCGCCTCTGTCTTCCCAAGGTCACCCTGGCTTCTGAGGCCCCACCCAATGACCCCATCTTAACACCACCCACAAAGACCCCAGAGGTTGGGGCGTCCGTGAATCTTTTGGGAGGAATCCGGATGATTCAACCCTGAGTGGACAGAAGGCCCCTGGCCAGGCGGCAGGTCATGAGTGAGGGCCATGCGAAGCCATTTAATGAGGTTTCTGGGAGGCCCCCACGCGCCAGCAGAGCGGGAGAAGAGACGGTTTCCTAGAGAGGGGCACAGAGTGCCCACGGAGATGACTGACAGCCAGAGGGGCGGGGACAGCAGGAAGTCCAGGGCGGGGCTCCAGATCTCTGCGCCCAGGACGTTCCCCGGGTTCCCACTACGCCACGTCGTGCTCCCCCTTCCCTGCTGTCCCTAATGATTGAGCTCTTGCCCTGCTGTTGGCACGGGGGCACTGGCCTCGAGCCCCACCGCCCCCTCACCAAGGCGAGGCCCGAGTGGGGCTGATGGGATGGCGCTCCCTGGAACAGGAAACCCGAGCAGGCTGGGGAGGTGGAAGGTGCTGGCTTCCGTTCTTCTGGGTCTGCACAGACCCTGGCCCGAGCCCATTTCCGGGCCTGCCTCCCTGCAATTCAGTGAGCACCCAGCACTCGTCCAGGGGCCCCTCCTAACAGGAGTCGAAACCCCTCAGCCTGGCTTCCCTGCTGGGCTGGCCTCTCTGAGAGAGAGGGGAGAAAGCAGGTTTGAACACACGAACCAATCAGTCCCTAGAAGAGAAGCAAGGGAGGCGGGGTCTTGTGCTTCCCACTGGGGTCTCGGCCATCTCAAGGGGGCGGGCCCAGGGGACTCTGCTGTGGATACTGCTCTCTGAAAGACAGAGCCCTCTCCTGGGCTGCCCCACCCCGGCCCTGCCCTGTGTAAGGAGGCCAGGCTCCCTCTCAAAGCCAGTCTCACTGAGCTCTGCGGAGAACCGGCCGGCTGGAAGCTCCCGTAAGGCGCTACCCCTGCTCCCAAGTGCGCCGCCCTCCAGACCTGATTACCTCTCCAAGGCCCAGTGGGATCTCAACCCTGGGATTCTGGGGCGGCACAGACAGAGGAGGGTCTGGTCTCCCAGTTCTGTCCCTGCCAAGTGCCCACCCCAGATCTCCCAGGCTCCACACCCAGAGTTCCGCTGATGGCCCTTCCTGTCCCCCACCCCCACCCCCCCAGCCATGGAGGAGACACCCATGCGCACAACCTCAAGGCAAGTCCCCAAGCATGCAAATCACATCCCCGGCCCGGGGACAACCGCACTCAGACAGACAGCAGGAGGCGGCACGGGCCTAGCAGTTGAGACGCCCGCAACCCACAGCAGAGAACCTGGCTCCAAGTGCCCGCTCCAGCCCCTGCCTCCAACTTCCCGCGAAGGCACAGTGGGAGGGAGAGGGCGACGGTTCAAGGAGTTGGGTTCCCTGCCATCCGCATGAGGGACCCAGAGTGAGGTCCCAGCTCCTGACCTTGGTCTGGCCCAGCCCTGGCCGCTGTAGGCATCGGAGGAGTGACCCAGCGGAGGAGAGGGGGCCTGTCTGCCTCTGGGGCTCAGAACAGAACAGACAGTAACCAGCGTGGGAGCGGCTACGGAGCAGTGACATGACATGGTGCAGCTTCCGTAGGGACAGCCTGGCAGTCCCTCGGAGGGTTAAACACGGAGCTACACTGCACCCAGCAATTCCACCCCCAGGGATGCACTTAAGAGAACCACAAACAGACATCCACACAAACCTAGCATTATTCATAGAAGCCAAGACGCAAAAACAACCAAACGGTCATTAACTGATGAACGGATAAACCCCGCGCCGACCATCCACAAACCTGCATCCCAGCTGGGGAGGCTGACCAGCACGCTTGGCGCCCACGTGCCCGGCCAGGAGACACGAACCAGTCCCCGTGCAGCCTCGAGGTTTGTCCACGGTGTGGTCAGGGCTGGACGATAATCATGCAGGTGCCAGCGCCATCCCCGCGTGGCTGTCATTAATGAGCTGTCGTCAGTGACTCCCACGTCACCTCCTCGGGGGCCCAGGTTGTGACTCCCACGTCACCTCCCTGCACCGTCTGCCCAGTGCTCTCCGGCTGACACGCCGGAGGTGGTCGCATCTGCCTGCTGTGTCGCCGCTGGCCGCGTTTGCGCCATCTGTTACCAGCTCTGAACCCAACCTCACCCTTCACAGACAGCTGCAGTGCTCGTGGCCGGGTGCGCGTGCGCTCATCAATCCGTGGGGTTTTTTCCTGGACTGTGAGGCATCCTGGGCTGAGGGAGCCCAGACTTCACACATGCATGTGCCGAGTCCCGCACACTCAGCTCCTCCGGCACAGCGTCTCCAGGACGAGCAGGGCTGTGCCTTTTGCCAAGAGGTCGAATTCTCGGGGCTGCAGCGCAGGGAGAGAGAGGCAGAGACCCCAAGAAGTCCCGGGCAGCCCGGAGGCAACGCAGGAGGCTCGTCCAGGGACAGGCTCCTTCCTGCGCTCCGGCTCAGCGGCCCTGGCACAGCGCCGAGGGCGAGGGTGGCCAGAGGCCCCGGCACACGGCAGTCCCCGAGCCGCTCCGAGCTCACCCAGCCGGGCGTGCTGACGCCAGGCCTTCCGAGTGGGTCTGGAAGGAATTGGGGCTCGTTAAGATCATCAGCCCGAGCCTCTCCTCCCAGGACAAATATTTCTTTCAATGAGCTCTGTGTTCTGGAAAGCTGCGCCCGTGGCCGTCTGCATGGATCTAGCAGAGCCTTGGCTACTGCTGGGTTCTGCCTCCCTCCTGTCTCTGCAGGCGTGGGGCGTGTGTGTGTGTGCGTGCGTGTGTGCACAGCACACGCTCCCATTATGAAGAAATCTGCCAAAAGACAGCGCCAGGACACTGCTCATCTTCAGCCAGAAAAAAAAAAAAAAAAAAAAACAATGATGAGAACTGTGTTCGTGGCAAGAGACACAAGATGTGGATCTTGGAAGACGCCAGCTCTCGAGGCTGCCGCGTCCCTTCCCGTCTCCCAGTGTGTGCTGCTGTGGAAACAACGCAGACGAGCAGGAGGAGGAAATGCGTATCACGCCTGCTCTGCCAAGGGTCCACGCGAGCCCCCAGTGCTCCAGGGGTCCTCCCATCCCTCCACGCCCCCTGTAGCCAGGGGTCTGGGTTTGATCCCAGCTCTGCCACTTGCTGCCCACGTGACCCCGAGTCGCATCACCACCCGGGATCTGTTTTCCCATCTGTACAATGGTTCCACAGCGCTGCCCACCTCTTCTTAACAAAGAATAAACAAGAAAGGATTTGCAGAGCTGGGAAGAGGTTCAGCACAGTCAACATTCTCAACAAATGGGATGTTTTACAAGAGAGGGGGAGACAGCGACCCGCCATCCGCTGGTGCACTCCCCCAGTGTCTGCAACACCCAGGTCCGGCCAGGCGGAAGCCAGGAGCCGGAACTCCACCCAGGTCTCCCATGCCGGTGACAGGGATCCAGACACTTAGGGCATCGTTCACGGCCTTCTCGGGGACCTTGGCGGAGCTGGGTTGGAAGACGAGCAGCCAGGACTCAGACTGGTGCTCAGACGGGATGCCAGCGTCCCAGGCAGCAGCTGAACCTGCTGTGCCACAGCGCCGGCCCCACACAGTCCGAGTTTTACAGCATGTGTGTGTGCGTGTGTGTGAGTGTGCGTGTGTGTGTATATGTATGTGTGTGTATGTGTGTGCATGTGAGTGTGTCTGAGTGTGCATGTATGCATGTGATTGTGTGCATGTGTGTATGTGAGTGCATGTGCGTGTGTGTGCGCACATGTGTCTGTGTATGTATGTGTGTGCATGTGTGTGCGCGTGTGTGCATGTGTGTGTGTATGCACATGTGTGTGTGCGCATATGTGTGCATGTGTGAGTGTGTGCTATGTGTGTGTGGTGTGTGCGCGTGTGTATGTATGTGCATGTATGTGTGTGCGTATGTGTGTGCATGTATGTGTGTGCATGTGTGTTTGAGTGTGTATGTGTGTGTGAGTGTTGTGTGAGTGCGTGTGTGTGAATGTGTGCATGTGTAATCTTTATACCTTCTTTTTCCTGGAACACAGTATAGCGTATACATGTTCCCACGTTGCTGTTATCAGAAGCACTTTTAATGACCTGAAAACATTCCCTGCAGTGTTCGAAGCGCCCCCGGGGGTAGAAGCTGCGGGGCTGGCGCTGCAGGGCAGAGGATTAAGCCTCCGTGCAATGCTGGCATCCCGCGTGAGCGCCAAGCACGCCAAGCGTGGACTAAGTGCTTCCCATAAGACCCCACACCACCACACTGAGGGGCTCCCCCGACAGGAGGGAAGGCAGCGACGCCAGACGTCCGCACGGCTGTGTCCACGGCAGCGCAAAGAGGGAAGCAACCCAGCCTCCCCGACGGGGGCCCAAAATTCCATCCAGGTCTCCCACGTGGGTGCAGGGCCCACGCGTTTGGGCCCCTCCTACCACCCTCCCAGGTGCCTCAGCAGGGAGCCGGATGGGAAGTGGAGCAGCCGGGCCTGCCACCAGAACGGACATGGGACACTGGCGTCATGAGGCGGCTTAACCTGCTGCACCACAAGACTGGCTCCACCCCCCCAACCCCCACTTCTTGAAAAGATGACGACGCCTGGCTCAGAGGCCGCACGCATTCCTGGGCTGTGCGGTTTACTGGGTGGTGAGCACAGGTTTCGGCTCCGGGTCTGACTCTTCCAGGCTGGGGTTCTGGCAGACCCGGGTGCAAATTCAGCCAACGTCAAGGTGGAGGCATAATTAGCAAGTGCACGGTGCCAAGCGGAACCGTCGGCCCTGGAGGCTGGGAGTTCAGCTCTATATTTATCCTCTGACCGCCCCGTGGGTTCTAAATTTGGCCAAACAAGTTCTTCCAGCCCCACGGGTGGCACGGGTGCATTGTGTTGAAGAGGAGAAGGCTGAGCCCGCTGGGAGAGCACTCCCGCTGCCGGCCACCGCCTGGAAGCCCCCCCCCGCCCCCAACCCCCCCAGCTTGTCCTCTGCTTTCTCGGGCAGGGCTCACAGCCACTTCCTGAGCCCACGTCTGAATTTCTCCTCCTGAGCGAACAAGAAATATCCAGGCATAAGAATTCTGACCAGAACTGATCTCCACGTTTTCCTAAAATGACAAATTAAGAACAAAAAACGGCCTTGTCGGGGGTCTCTAGGCCAGGGAGGACTTAGTGGCCGAGTCCCAACTTTGCAAGGAAGGTTCTGGGGTCTCCGATCTGCCCACAGCCGCTTCTCAGACATCCCGCCTCCACTGAGCCGGCGCAGGTGCCTGGCCCTGGGCTAGTTCTAGACGCTGGAGCCAGCAGGACCATCCACAGCCCACAGCCGGCCACACCTGCATGCCCTCGGGTCTCAGCACAGGACGGTCCCAGATACCAGACTCCCTTCCCCGGAGGGCGGAAATCAGGAGACAGAGAACATTCCAGCTGGTGCAGATGCTGGGCTGAACGGTGTGCTGGGGTTAGGTGGCCATCTGCAGGCGCAGCACGCAGACCTGGGGGGGAGGGGGAAGGTGCTGTGGACCCTGGGACCCTTGAGGACGTCAGGTGGCTGGATCACACTTCACCTGACACCCACGCAGCTGCCAGACCTCTCAGAGACAGGAGCCAGCAAGTATTCTTTCAAGTTCATTTCACTGGGTTTCCCGAGTTTGAAAAACAAATTTATAACCACAGGGAACATCTCAGTAACAGTGCAACGCACCCCTTTTCACCTGAAGCCGTCAGAGAAGGTTTCTGATCCAAAGGACCCAGGCGGCAAGCCCTGGGAGAGTTTAGGTTCAAGGTAGTGCCCGCCCCCCCCCCCCTTCCTGAGTGACAAGCTCCTCTCCCCTGAGTTAGGACCCGGCCGCAGGAACTCGCTCTCCTCCGGGCCTGGCTGTGGTCTTCCGAGGCCTTGGACAAAGGGGGAGCCAGGGACTCGCCGGGGGCTGCAGGGCTGGGGACGTCTCCCCCGTCCCTCGCGCTCCTGCGGGACAGCTGGTGGCGCCAGCCGACAAGGGGGACGAGTGGCACCGGTGCTCTGGCCGCTACTGGAGGATGAGTGGCGGCTGCAAGATCTGAGCCTGGGTCTGTGGGGTCCCCAGCCGCAGACCCTCCCTGGGGGCTGCGTCTGCCCCCTCATTTCCCTTCTGGCCGCTTCCGTCCCCAGGAGCCGCTGCCGGAGGAGGAAGAGCCACACAGGGAGGCGTGGGCACGTCCCAGCGGACCAGGGAGCCTCTGCTTTGGTCGCCAGGGGCCCGGTGCCCCGAGGCAGGCGCTCGCAGGGAAAGAGGAGGGAGTGCAGGAGAGTGAAAGCGGGTCTCCACACGGAAGCCATCAGCAGCCGTAACCGGCCACGTGGAGGGGAGCGGGCGCGAGGGTGCCACCACTGGGCCTTGCGAGTCCACCTCAGGTGTTCGGCGGTGCCGAGGCTCTGGGAGGCGTCAGGCCGCGCCCACGGTCACCAGTGACGAGCAGCAGGGCTGGATTTGAACACAGGCTGGACTTGGACGGGGAACCACACACACGGCAGCCCATGGGCTGAGCCCAGGCAGCGAGGCAGGGCACCCCCGGTTGTTCCTCTGCCCCCACGACCTGGGTGTCCCCCACCTACCCACCCACACCGCCTCCCGCTGTGTCCTACTGGGTCTGTGTGTGCCTCAGGGGGAAACAGTTCTCCTTTCTGAGCCTCAGCTTTCTCATCTGTACAATGGGTACGTGTGCCAGCCAGGAAGCTTCACACTGCTGACTCCACCTGCGTGGGAGCCGCGGGCTCAGCTGACCGGGCAGGCACTGATGTCACCAGGCTCGGGCTGAGTCATGCCCCACCCCCGCGCCTCCCGGGACAACCCGATCACTTCTCTGATGGGAGCTTGTGAGCTGCTGCCAGGCACACGGTGCTCAGCGGTCCCCAGCGGTGCTCGTCTCCCACCCGATTCCCCCTCGCCATGGGTGCCAGCCCGCGGGTCACGGCACAGTGGCCAGGAGCCAGGGCCAGCGGCGCCGCTCCACCTCTGTGCACCTGTGTCCCACTCATGGGGACCAGCTCCGCCTGCTTTGCAGGGTCACTCTGCGTCGTAGGCAGGGTCGTGCGTGCGGGGCTCCTGGCCTTGTGAGGGGCACGCAGACAGCCCGCCGTCTTCCCCTAGAAACGACTGCGTTCACGTCACAGACGTCACCATGGGCTCGGCGCTCCTCGCACCCTTCCAGCGCCTGCCTGCGGACACTTCAGCAGGGCACCGGGCACCCACCTCTCCCTCCCTCCGATTGGAGGAGGCTGAGCAGGAAAACACAGACTGTGCTGGGAGCTCCCCTGACTGGCTGCCTGGCGTCTGTCCCGTTCCGAGATGGCCCTGAGCCCGCCCCACAGGGAGCAACGTCGGCACCAGCCGAGGATGCCGTGGGGGGGAGCACGTGACAGGGTCTGACATCCCCACGCGGGCACGTGGCTGGACAGCGAGGACTCCCACGTGGCACCCAGCGCCACGCCCCCTCCCCCAGCGCCACGCCCCCTCCCCCAGCGCCGCCTGACGCCCCCTCCCCCAGCGCCACGCCCCCTCCCCCAGCGCCACCTGACGCCCTGGCACCTGCAGTCGATTTCTCTGCTGTGCGTGGCAGCTGTCGAGGGTGTGAATCCACGCTGTGGCACGGACCCTCCCCCGGGACCCTAGGAGTCTGGGGGCTCCCATGTGGCTCCAGGACGGTCGCTCAGCTCTCAGAGCCGGGACGGCACCTGGGTGTCAGCTCGCGGGCCAGCACGGACAGGGGCTCCTGTTGCTTGGGTGCAGTGTTAAGGGGGATTCAGAGGCATCTGGGCTTGTGGGGCAACAGCTCCGGGTTCAGTTAGCGACGTCACGGGGGTCGGAGGAGCGAAGACCTCCGCTGACCGCTGACCTGACCTTTCTCCTAACAGCCCCACGCGCTTCCTGTGGCACACAGCGAGGCAGAGAACGTGGCCCAATCTGAGCGCCGTCCCTACAGCCACCGTGACCACTTCAGCAAAGGAAAGCTCCCCCAGCCAGGTCTGGGAAACGCCAGTCCTCAGACTCCGCTAACCACACACACCCAGCTGGATCCAGCCGTTCCTGACGTCAAATCTAACCCTAAGCTTCTACATGTTGTGAGCCAGTATGGCGTATTTTTTTTTTTTTTTTTTTGCCAGTGTGGATTATGAATCTGTGTTTGGTCCCTTACAGGGCCCAAGGTCCTAATGCACAGATTCTAGGCTTTGCTTTTCGCTAGTCAGGCCCCGGAGTGCGACCAGGGCAGGTTTGGCGGATACGATAGTAGACACGGGGCGGGTGGGGGGAAGACGGTGTGGTGGCCCCTGGGTTGGTCACTGCCTGCCCCGCAGACGTCCCGCATGGGCACTGTTTCATGTCCCAGCTGCCCCCGTTTTGATCCGGCTCCCTGTGGCCGTGCCTGGGAAAGCGTCCGCACTCCAGCCCAGACAGGAGGCCTGGACTGCAGAGAGGGGACGCGTGTCTCCTCCAGGGGAGGGGAAAACCTCTTGGGAGGGAGACCCCCACCACGGCCATCTTATGCTGTCATGAATAAGACCACCCTGGCTGCGGGTGGGTGGATCCCAGCGTCCTGTGCACCCCGTTGTTTCCACACAGGCTTCCGGGGACCCTGAGCCGGCTTGGTCGGATCTTGTGTGCAAACCAGGGCCTGAATCATGGAGACCCCACGAGGGAAGATTCACCATTGGCTGCACCAGTGATGTCCCCCGCCCCCGCTGGTCTCCTGCATCGAATGGACTGGAAGCTCCAACCATGTCCCCAGAAGGGATTTCCCGGCCTTGACCTTGACATTCAACACTTGAGTTCCTGCCTCTCCGCTCTTGCAGCTCCACTTCCAGTCCAGGTTCCTGGGAAGCCGGGGAAGGGTGCGGACGGAGATGCCTAACCTACAGCCCTGGGCTCTGCAGATGGCCGCTCGTGCCCACTCCAGGAACCCGGGCGGGGTCACAGGGTGGGCGGGGGCCAACAGGCCTGTCGCTCCCCCTCTTCGTGGAGGAACGACACTAAACCCTGCGCTGTTCTTTTGTCTGCTCGGCCCTCCCCGGGTTTGCTGCTGGTTCTTCCCGGGTTGGCTACCGACCCTTCCACCTCCGTGGAAGGGCGGTTCCCCCTGCCACTTTCCCCACTTCCACGGGGGAGTGGCACACCGCCGGCCGGCTCTCTCGGGGGCTGCACAGGTGTTCCTTCAGATAGATGTTCCTGGTGCATGTTGTCTCTCTCCTCCTTTATAGTCCTCTTCCGCCAATCCCAACTCTGCTACCCACATGCCGAGTACGCTGCTCTCCTCCAATCAGGAGCAGGTCCTACAGTTTATTGGCTGAACTGGAGGCAGCTGTGTAGAAGCTGTTTCCTCCTCTCCCAGCGCCATATTGTGGGAGAGCAGATGCATAGAATAAGTCTTAATTCCAGTAACTTAGTCTAGTCCGAGTTGCTCCCAGTTGCTCCCCACACAGGCCCAGGCACAAACCTGAGCCTTTGTGACAGGGACAGAGCCAGGGACCTCTCCGCACCCCAGTCTCCCGCCCCCACCCCCAGGGTGGAGCCGTGTCAGTCAGCGGTGAGACTGCTCGCTCTGCCCCTCTGCCAGTCGTGGCCGAGGCTAGCCCTGGCCCGCCCTCCCTCAGGAGCGAGTTCAGCAGGGGCTCGTGGCCCTCCTGCCCCAGGGGCAGCTCTTGAGTGGGGACAGAGCTGAGGCCTCAACTTCCCATTGGGGAGAGGCCTGTGGGGGCACAGCCCAGCTTGGGCTGGGGGCCGCTCCCATGAGCCTTTGCACCCCCCCCCACTCCTCCCAGCTTCATTCCTCGCCTTTCTCATTCATTCAGTCATTCATTCATTCATTTTCTTGATCCTCACAACGAACCTGTAAGGTGGAAGGGCTGCTATTCTGCCCATTTTTATTTTTAATTTATTTTTATTTTGTTCAAAGGACAGAGATTGATTGACCTATCCTCTGGTTCACTCCCCAAATGCCTGCAACAGCCAGGGCTGGGCCAGGCTTGAGCCAGGAGCCAGGAGCTTCTCCAGGTCTCCCCTGTGGGGGTCAGGGACCAGGGGACCTGAGCCATCACCCCAGAGTGTGCATCTGCAGGGAGCTGGATTGGAAGCAGAGCCAGGGCTGGCACCAGGCGCTCTGGTAAGGGGTGCAGGTATCCCGAGTGGCGTCTTAAGTGCTGTGCCCGCCTTTAGATGGGAACGCAGGTAAGAAACTGGCCCGAGACAAGAGGCTGCGTCCACATCTATTGTCGCGTGACCAATGGCCACAAAGCTTAGTGGCTTAAAAGGACACGTGATTTTCTCGGGGTTTCTGTGGGCGGGGTCCCCAGGGCGAGACACGGCTCCGTGTGGGTCGCTATAAAATCGAGATGTCTTTTCCCCCTTTATTATAGCCTGGGTGGGGGAGGTTGTGTGTGCGAGGAGGTGTGGGCCGGGAAGGGCATCTCGGACATGCCCAGGGTCCGGGGCAGAGACAGGGCCGAGGGGACGGGGCTGGAGGGTCTCGGAACCCGGGCAGCCTGAGTGCGAAAGAAAAGCCCCAAGCGTGGACTTGCCTTCTGCCAGCCCTGTGACTCTGGGCGAGGCCCCGAACAGGGAATCACGGTCCCCACTGCTCAGGAACACACAGGGCAGGGAAGTCAGAACGTGCCTGGCACGTAGTATGCGTCCAGTAAACCCTGCGGCAAGAGGCGTGCTAACAGCAGCCACGCTGGTTAGGGGGTGCCCTGCATGGGACACTGTCCCCCCCACGTCCACGTCCACCCAGGGACACAGACTGCGCCCTTGTTTGGAGATAGGGTCTTTGCAGTGGTCACACAGCTGGGACCACACTGGCACCAGGCAGGCTCTGGGCACCACGGCAGGCGTCCTCAGAGCCGGGGGCAGCCAGGTAGAGGCAGAGGCAGAGCTGGGAGCGGTACAGACCCAGGAAGGACCAGGACTCCTGGCCACACCTGGAACTAAGAGGCCAGCAAGGATTCTGCCCCGGAGTCCTGAGAGTGAACATGACCCTGCTGACACCTGACCTCCGACCTCCAGCCACCTGACATCATAAAGGAGTGGATTGCTGTCATCTTCAGCTGCCCGGTTTGCAGGGTTTGCTGCAGTGGCCTAGGAGAGGAGTGGGAGGTCTGTGGGCACCACGCGCCCCTAAACCCCGCTCCGATGCACGAGTTCACTTGGACCAGTGCTGGACGCAGTGAGTACCGCCGTCACCATTACCCCATATCACAGAGGGGCTTGCAGAGGGTAAGGGGCCAGGGCTGGGCTTGCATCTGGTTTCCCCTGTGCGAAGCCCACCTCCAAGGGCCGGCTCCACCCTCACCGCCCAGTGCTACCTTCGCCGCAGCATCCGGACGGCAAGGCAGGTTCAGGCTGGCCTGAGCCGCACTGCACGGGGCCGACAGAGCCAGGTCCCTGGGACCCCAAAGCCAACATCAGTGCTGTCACCACCCCCTGCTGGGCCGGGTTCTCAGTGTGGACGCCGTGAGGGGCCCGCAGGGGGCCAGCGTCAGCGGTAGGGGCAGCCCCCGGCCCATCAGAAACCCCCAGAGTCCCTGTCGTCATCCCCGGTGCCGCCTGACCAGAAAGGGCAGTGGGGGAAGCAGGGAGGGGCAAAGCCGCGCCACAGCCAAGCCCCATCCCCCACCCTCAGCTCACGAGGGTTTTTCCACCAGGAAACAGAACAGTTCATCCGAGTTTCTTCACCCTTTGTCCCAGAGCAAAAATGTCAGAAATGTGCACGGTTGTGGCCACAGAGGGACACTGCGTCCCGCACTGCGTCCCACCCCTCCCCCGCCTGCTTCCTGCCTGGCCCGAGGGTCAGGGTGAAGACCCCCACTGAGTGGGGGACACGGGTCTGGCTCCAGCTCGGGGCCTTGGCGTTCTTATCTGCAGGATGGGGGCGATGACCCGCGGTCCATCGTCTCCCAGAGCTCATTCTGCGAGTCTCCGAGTTCCTCAGGGAAAACTCAGTTCCGTGGGCGCACGGCGTGCCAAGGCCCCACGGCGGGGTCTCAGTCCTCCATGCCCGGTGCTGCCGCCTGCAGCTTCCTGCGGCCCAGACGCTCCCGTCCGTGGGGCACTGTCCACCCCGGGCTTGGATTTCTCTCACGACTCAGGATCCGCACCCC